CTATTAACAGTCCGTTGATGGCGTTCACTTCGTTGTCCACTGAAAAGTAAGGCAAAATTGGCGCAGACCAAGGCATGGTCAGAGTCCAGATAGGTACTCGAAAAGGAGCGGCAGTCTTGTACACAACCACGCCAGCGGTAGCTGATTGCGATGTGATCAATCTGAGTCCAGGCTTGAGATGTAGAAGGCGGACGCCAGGTGGCACATCGGCGATGACTGTGCCGGAAGTTAGTGCTAGCCAGAAATAGGTTGTGGTCTGTGCAAAGTTGCAGTAGACGGTTCCCGTTATCTGTTCTGCGATCAACAAGTCCCCATCGGCCACCTAAACGACTCTCTTCTGTGCCTAGACGCCCGACCTGGGCATTCAAGTCTCCGGCTAGTACTACAATATCTGTCGAACGCACTTTCTGGAGAAGAACTGATAACTGGTGGTAAAACTCATTCTTGATTGCATCCGGGCTGCAATCTGTCGGAGCATAGGCGGAGATGACGAAGAGACATCGTTTCTCACGCCGATTTCTTCTCACTTTCATGGAACTTTCTAATCTAACAGCACATAACCGACTGTTAATGGGGATCCAATCGACTAGTGCTGCCTCAGCTCTAGCGCTTAGTGCGACACCAACGCCAGCAAGACCGGACGAAGATGCCACAGGGTCCCCGGATAAGCGCACGTAAAACAAGCTTTTCGAAGCGACAGATGGAGATCGAATTTGTAGCACTTCGCCAGAGTCTTGAATACGGGTCTCAGATAGACAGCAAACATCGATATTAAGACTTTCTAAAGACATAGCCAGCCCTATCTGTTGTCCGTCCTGCATAAGTGTGCGAACGTTGAAGGCAGCCAGTTTGAATGGTGCACGTGGTTTCAGAAAGACTGCTTCAGTACTCATATTCGGTGGTAACATACAATTTTCAACCGGACAGTGACTCGAGAACGTTAAGATACAGTCGGATTTCCACCAAAGACGAGCCGCTGTATAAGTGTAAAAGAGGGTGAATAATGTGGAAAATAATAATAATAATGATAATAATAACAATAATGACAATAATTGTAGTAATAATAATATTAGTATTAATAATGACAATAATTGTAATGATAATAATCTGAATCAATTGTTTGTTTTTCAAAGCGAGAAAGGTAATTTCCATAGGCATAAAGAGTTCATCAATTTGTGTGTGGGCTGCGATACTGCCCGGGTGCCCAGACCGAAGCAGGTGGTTATCTTAGGGGGCCACTCCCCGAGCCTTTGACCTAAAGGTCTAACCCACAAGGCAGTGGAGCATCGTAAGGAGATGCAGTCCCATGGTAGCCGGTGACCAACGATTGGTTCATACGCCATTCGTACCCGCAGGATACTGGAGCCCATGTGCACCATTGATTTGGAATCCGGTTAAAGCGCCGGACATTCGCTTTTCGTCCTCTCATTTTCGTAAACAACACCCCCGCCACGAGAAGGCAATGAGTAGGACTTCCCTGGCAGAGGCTGTATACGCGTGGCCGTGTGAGAGTATTTCGAGAGGGAGAGCGAACTCTCCCCACTCTCGGCCGTACCAGGGCATTCAGGGGGGCGTTGTCGAGACTCACGGGGAGAGTACTTGTCTGAAGGAGAGCTTAACGAGAAAGTGAGCGGTTTATGGTCCGTGAAAAGAGTGAATTCACAACCTTCGATGTAGTGTTGAAAATGTCGTACAGCACAATACATAGCTAGGAGTTCCCTACCGAATGTGCTGTACCTCGATTCGGTGTCTAGCAACCGTCTAGAGAAAAATGTCAATGGTTGCCAGGAGTTGTTAACCCATTGTTGTAAGACTCCTCCGATTGCTGAGTCGGATGCGTCTACTGCGATACTAATGGGTGCTCGGGCGTCACGATGTGCAAGCACTGTTGCTTTAGCGATGAGTTCCTTAATTGTGGAGAATGCTTTTCGTGCGGTGTCATCCAGATTAATGGATTTCGCATTACCACGAAGTTGGTCGGTTAGCGGTTTCATGAGTAAAGCGCATTTAGGTATGAATCGTCTATAGAAACTTACAGGGCCGTTAAACGTTCGTAGTTGCTTGATCGTGGTCGGTCCTGGGTAATCCAGAATTTTCATGCAATTGGTTCCCTTTATGAATTTAAACCCAGAATTGCCGCCACTTTGGTCCTAATGGATCGAATGCCTTGAGCATCTACAATGTGTCCTAGGAAGTCTAATGAGTCGGTCCCGATTTGGCATTTCCGAACGTTTACAGTAATGCCATGTTTTTGTAGTCGTTCGAAAACAAGATCCAGATGCTTGAGGTGTGATTCTCTGTCCGAACTTGCGATTAAGCAGTCGTCAACATACACATGTACGAAGTCGAGACCTCGAAAAACGTCGTCTATGAATCTTTGAAATGTTTGAGCAGCGTTTCTAAGACCGAAGGGCATTCGCAAGAATTCAGAGTCCGAAGGTAGTAATGATGGCGGTTTTCGGAATGTCGTCAGTGGCCATGGGAATTTGGTTATACGCTTTAACCAAGTCGATTTTCGAAAAAACAATTGTACCTTTCAAGGTAGCTGTCAAATCGTGAATGTGAGGCAACGGGTAACGATCGGAAATGGTTTTCGCATTCGATCGCCGATAGTCACCAGTTGGACGCCAATCGTTGCTGTCATTTTTGGGGACCATGTGCAACGGAGATGCATATGGGCTATTTGACGGTCGTATGATTCCTAAGTCTATCATGTGATCGAACTCGTTTTTCGCTAACCTTAGCTTTTCAGGGGCTGGTCGTCGTGGTTTAGAGAATACAGGTGGTCCTGTAGTTGTAATGTGATGTGTAACGTTGCTGGTTACACACTGTAGTTTCGGTTGCGTTTGATGAATCCCAGGATACTTATCGAGTAGTGGTTGATACAGTGGGTCTATCGTATGCTTAATTGTGACTGGGGATAATCTGCAACCAGTAAAAGAGGTTACGCAAACGGATAAATTAGTGTTTCCGTCTACTAGCCTCCGTTTGCGAGTATCGATGATTAGATTATGGTGTTGTAGAAGGTCCATACCAATGATTGGCATAGAAACACCTGCAACAACGAAGATCCAGTGAATGGGTTTGCGTAAGCCCACGTTAAGGTAAACGTACCTTTTGCCATACATAGCGATAGGTTTTCCATTTGCCGCCTGTAAGTTTAGAGCCGATTCGTGAAGCCGGTCGTTGGCATTCGCTGGGAGAACGCCAACTTCCGCGCCAGTGTCGACGACGTAGCGAACTCTCGTTGTCACATCTGTGACGTGTAACAGACGGCTATGTTCGCCGGCTACGGTTGCCGTTAACGCGTGCCTGCTTGGAAGTGTTCCGAGTGGTTTTTCGAGTCAGTGGGTTTTGAGTTGGGAAAATTGCAGGGTTTTCTGCAATTTCTGGGAGAATTTCCATACTAGTTATGATACCAGCACCAGTCGGGGTTATCCGTCTCTCGTGGTCTAGAGACAGATCGCTTACGTGAAGTACTTCTACGTGGGGTGTGTGATCGCCTACGGTCGTTACGAAAATTAAGATAACGCGTAAGTGTATGACATAACTCGGTTATGTCATTCTGAGTCGTTTGAGGCTTTTCTTTGACTGAAAAAACCTCGGTAGTAGAAGATTTCGTAATTTCTAAGATACGATCGGCAGATGCAGCCAGTTCGTCTAAGGCGTTGTTCTGAAACGAGACCAGAACCGCTTGCACCTGTTGGGGAAGTTTGGACAAGAAAAGTTGTTTGAATAGGCCTTCGTCGAAAGTTCTTAGGCCTATAACCACTCTCATCTTTTGCAGTATGTCCGTCTCAGAACCGTACTGCAGGTCTATGTTATTAAAGAGTTGATCTAAACTTTGTCGACCGGTTAGGTCTCCTCGTTTAAGAATCGAACGCTTTAAGGTTTCGTACGGGTCAGAAACATCACTAGTAAACATACTAGGTGTTACGTACCTGTTGAATTTCCGCGGTAGTGCCTTGACTACTGCGAGGAATTGTGCACGTGTGTCGTTCACGCCGTGCTCGTGGAAGTCGGCCTCTACGTAACACAACCAGACTTCGATATTGTCGGGCCAGAAGGGCATGAGTTGGAATGAGGGTGGGGACATGGTCTTAATCTTAAATACCTTAGGAATCTGTTCGGTCATAGGGGAATATTAAGTACGAGAATACGAGGGAAAATATATATAGATATCCTGAGACACGGGGAAAAATATCACAATATATAAAAAATAAGGCAACAATATATGAAAATCCCAAAAAGGAACAGACTAACAGTTGCAATTAGGTGTACCAGATCACGTCGGTCTCACCAATGAAGATGGCGCAGGTATTCAGTGTTTGACAACGCTTTTACCAGCAACACCTTTTAATATAACTCTCACCCACCAAGTGAAATCAAAAGACAGAGTCGAGGAGATCGGAAGAGTGTATTTAGCGATAACCAATATATTGGGATGCTCTGATATAATCTGGCTAGCGATTGCGGTAGATGTTGAGCACAGCGTTACCACACGTGATCTGGTACGGATGCATGACCGAGCGCCTTCAGCTAGATGAGTCCACTAAAACTAATCTGGTAAGCATTCAATGTCGAAAACTTACAGAGCTATTTATTTTGGGGGTTGATTTACCGCTACACACTCCTGCGATCTCCTCGACTCTGTCTTTTTATTTATCTTGGTGGGTACAAATTATATTAGATGTTGCTGGTAGAAGCGCTGTGAAATACTGAATACATGTGCCATCTTCAATACATTCCTGGCAAGCCAGTTTATCTAGTATTCTTGAAACATTCGACTTTTCTAGCACTCGCATTACCACTTTATCGTTTTGACTATTACACTGACTAGAATTAGGGAAGTCGTGTGGCTGAAGTATCACCCGTTGGACATTACCAAATGCCTAAAGCCGCACTGAAACAACAAGAAGCGAGTGCAAATGAATCAATCGACCAATACATTCTCATGACAGAGATATTGGATATTACAGTTTTGAGCTCCAATATTGACCTTGCAATATGTGCACTTGTACTAATTGCCAAAATTTTAACTGCAAGCATTCTTTCACAACTAAACATATTTAGTTATTCACATCACCGCTTATTCCGTCTTATGTTATTGTTTGCCGTTATATTTCCAAATGCAGTCTTATTGAAGTACACAGACGACCTTGAGCTGCGACGAAGTTTCTACTTATAGGACGACCTATGATAATTCATTTAAATCCCACTGATCAGTAGTTTTAGCATAAAGAATCAGTCATTGTACATGAATTATTGTTATTCTCATGAAAAGTCAACACCACCTAAAAGGCAAGAACGTTTTATAGCCTTTTGAATGGTTTTCCCTTCGAAATCTTATTGGTTCATACACTATACTCTATGAATCAGCTACGTCTGCCAACAGACTTGATGATTTACATGACATCATATCATGTTACAGTTGTATTATTTAATATATAGTTTTATGGTCATGATCCATACAGCTGGATTACGTTGCATCTAACAGGCTTTCCAGGATTTTTTAAGTGTCTTATGGATTCGATATATATATATATATATATATATATATATATATATATATATATATATATATATAGTTTTCTCAAATGCATTGGCTTTTGTTTCTCCTCCTTACACTTAGGATTTTGGAAATCACGTCTGCTTTTTCAGGAGTCTTATAAACCAATTATTGGGCGAATCACCAGTGTAGTAATTTAGAATTATTATAAACCGCGTAAGTTAGATATCAATGATGGTTATTGTATTGTAGAAGCAATTTAATATCTACCATCCTGTTACTTCACCAGTGTTACGCAGCTATGTCAGGTACCATATTTATTTAACAATTACTCATAGTTTATCAGATTCAGATTCAACTTTACCAGCCACAGACGACTTTGGGTCAAGGTTCTTAGAATTTGATGAATACTCTTTCGAGCAGACTGATAATACAGAAGTAAATAAATTATATTTTTGTGTAAATGAATGCTTGTTAAAGAAGCAGAAAGCGTGTTCTGACTAGTTTCATTTCCCGAGGCTATGAACCAAGTTAAATTTCCTCAAAACATTTCGCCTAGCCTTACAGATGCCTCTGAAGATGACCGTAAAGCGTCCCTCCCAAAAAATCAAATTGTTTTATTAACACCAGGCTTGTTGCTACTGGTAGCTTACGAGAGTTGGAACAGACTTAGTTGACACACGCAGTTGCTAGTCTACAACTCTCGCTTAAGTTCTGCGAGATCTTGCTCCTAAATGACCTACCTTATTTGCTTTGTGTATAAGTGGCGTTATAAGAACTACGGAAATTAAAATGTTTTAGGGACGGTAAAAAGTTCACTTTTTTAATAAGTGGTTCGTAAAGCAAAGCTGCTACCAATTTTCATGGCATCTTTTAAATGTCATTAATACTCACCTGGGCTTTCTAGTGAATTAACATTAAGTTGTAACCTAGCAAGAGTCGATAATTGGTTTGGATGATCGTTCCAACCAATTGGTTTGGAACAAGGTGTCTGTCTATCACTAAAATCCAAAACAGATGATCTCCTACGTACTGTCGTATTAGTACGGTTCAGTCCGATTATATGTTTTGGTTCACTTTCTAAGTACATCAATATGTTATTGCAAACTCCGAAACTTGGTAAGATAAGTATTTCATAATGTTTATGAAAGCATTGTATGAAAACAAGGAGTGGTCTCCAACTGGAATATGATAACCAGATCTTCTACAGACCGAAATTAACCACTGAACATAACTTCCGTCACGAAGTGACAGCATAACATGCTGCACTGTTATTGATTTGCACTTTATTCAGCTCATATAACTCTGAACTACGTGCAGATAACGCCTCCAAGTATGTTCGATACACACAGTCACCAAAGTCACTTATTATACTCTACCTTCTTGAAATCAACACTAACAATCCATAACTTGCTACTTTGCAATTTACAAGACAAAAATAGAAACGTCCACTGGATTAAGAGGACTTTTTAATGAAAACTGAAAGATGCAGTAAAGTTGGTAATATCCCTAACATTTATACAAATTAGTTACAAGGTCACAGTCCCATATAGGATGAAGTTATGTAGATGGTTCAGCACATCAAATGGAATTTTAGAGGATGGAGTATAGCTGTACTTCATAATAACAGCTAGATAGTTAAAAATCGAATAATATTACAATTAAGTCCTTTCGAAAAAATTTCTGAATTAAGAGACAATTATATAAAATGGAAACAATGTGGTGCATTGGGGTATAGGTTAAAGTTACATGAGGGGACGCCAGGTACTGTATATTCAGCAACTGTTCCAATTGTTGTTTCTGGATACAACTAGGCTTTGGTCTGCACAAACTACATCTTCTGTTATGTGACCGATGTATCCAATTTTCTAATGAGCACCACAATATCTGCCGGGAAAAGGTCTTTAGTTTGTAGTAATTTTCCATACAAACCGGGATGTTTTAGTTTAAGTGGATGCTACAAGACATCGTTTTTTTAGTTTATTAAACTAAGTGAACTTAGCCTAGCAAAACGTAAATAAATTTTGTTTAGGATATAGTTGATCAGTTTCGCCTCTCTTGTATAACGTATTTCCGTGATTATTGGATGAGTAGTATTACAACATGCTCTTGAATATGACTGTCTTCTACAGCAAACATCAATTAATAGTTTATATAGTTTAATATTATTCTGCTGTTAGGCCATCATGGAATTACGAATCACATTTGGTTTCAGGATAGTTGTGTGAACTGAATTCGAAGACAGGTTTCGGAAAGCAACAGTCGGAATAATGATTTTCTAAATGTTAGGTGAACTCTCTGGACCTACTAATCGTCCCGGATACAAGCAGTGCTACGATTTTCATATAGTAGATAATTTAAGCTGTTATTGGTTTACAAAATAGTCAGCTATAATAAAATAACTTAAATGGTGTGAACCAAAGATAAAAATAAAATTTGCTAAGCAACCAATGTTTACTTAACATTACTATCCAGTTCACTTTTAGACTGATTTTTGGCCAATGTTTGTCTTTCAGAGTGATGCTTTTTCTGCGTTTCTACATCAATTTCGCCCCGTTGCCGAACAAAAGGTTTCGTTTCTCGATGAGCGGTTGCTTGCAACAAATAGTGGACGTAAGAAATACATAAACCTTGCTCTTGAAGATGACCAGGATTCTAATACCAGTGACAATTTGAAGGCCGGGGCCAGCTCTGGCAACAATTCTGAAGATGATGAAATGGAATATAAACCTCCAAAGTTGTTAACTGCACGACAGATAAGTTTACAATCACAGAAAACTGCTGTTCCAACTGATATTAAGAAAATGAAGCAGTCTACAGCTCATTCCAGACTAATTAGTCTAGAATCCTTGAATTCAACTAAACCAACTCCAACTTTAACACCGGAACAAATTGCCGTCCGGCAAAAAAGAATAGCTCACCGCAGAGAATCAGCTAAGCACAAAGCGGAAATGGAAAAGCTCCAAACAGTGGAACGTTTGCTCAAGGTAAGTTACCGTATCCACAAGGTCCAAAATGTCAGTCACCGAAACTAACGGAATGGATGCAAATTTTACTTTTTTTCACAGTAATCTATGGTTCATTTCGAGTGCATGGGTAAGCTTCTGCACTTGAACGACTTGTGTAGTCTACTGATTATTAGATCCAGTTTGTGACATTTGTTTCTCAGGGGCGTTCCAGTTATTCTTATCCACACTAAAAGTATATAATAAACTAACTAGAAGTTATCAAGATATATTACTTATTATCACATATCCTCAAACCATACGTATCATAGTAGTGAGTTTCTGCGGGTGTGTTATGTTAATTTTGTTTTCACGGTTAAATAGTGATACTTGGGCATAAGACATTTCGGACGACGTAACCGAAGTATGGATTTTCTTTTTTAGATTAATGCAAATGTTATTGGGCGACGTGGTCGAGGTCGAGGTAGAGGTCTTCGGAATAATGGTTTGGCACACTGTGATCAGATCTCATCTCAAACGCGTTCACAGTTTGGTGTTTTAAAGTATGAGGGGGATTTAGTTGAAAAGGAGTATCTCAATGACACGCATGCTTCATTACGACCCAGTGAAGGTAATTGCATGAATACCGATTTTGTGGACAATGCTTATGAAAATACGAAATTGTCTGATAATAACATTTCTGCTAGTTTGCCAAATGTTCAATCATATAATCCCAAACCAGGATACATCCGCTTTGTATCTTCATCTCGTTTATCAACACAAACAGTCATCTGTTTACCTGAGACAGATAATAATAGTGACAAGGATATTTATTTGCACACAAATGTTTGCATACAAAAAGTCGAAGCTCCTGAAATACCTAAATCACGTCTATGCGACATGGGTTGCGGTTGTGCTAGGCGCTATGAATGTGCTAAAACAGGCCGCTCCTTATGTAGTTTATCCTGTTATAAAGCTAATTTGTCAGGATTCCCATTAACTATCTCAACTTAAATTGTAGCATTTAGACTTGTACAATGAATTTGAATGAATCTTGGTTTCTAGTAAAAAATATATCATAATAAAGTATGTTACATATTGTTTATCCGCGGTACTATTGTATCTACTTAGAAATTATCAAGATGTACCTATTAAGAAACGCCTTAGATGTTGCTTAGATGGTTATTTTTAGATAAATACATGTTAAGGTCTATGCACTTCCTGGAAACGAGGGTTATATCCCGATAGAACTCAATTTAAAGAAAGACCGCTCTAACAAAATCTTAGCAATTCATATTTTGAGTAGCTCTCTCTCTTTACATATATATATATATATATATATATATATATATATATATATATATATAATCTTAAGATGAATGCGATCGGTTGTCACCACTATTTTTGCTGTTATCATCTACGTATACATTCCAATTGTTCCTGAGCTGTTACTTGCCATTCTTTGGCGATGTGAAATGAACATTAGACAAAGGATCAGCTACTGCCATTCTTGGCTATGTTGAATTCCAGGACTGGAGACCCGTGTGTAACGGAAGTAAAGCTACATCAAGAGTGGGGGTAGTAATAATCATTAAGTAGTGTAGCTTTCTCACCAAACAGTTGTGTACTTGACTAAGGGTTAGCTATACTTTCTGGTTGCCGAAATCATATATAGTGAAGTGGAGAGTAAGCCTGCGGCAAATCGGCTCGCAGAATCATCTGCAAAAACACGTTTATCGAAAGAGCGAAGACTTTGTAGCAGTACTGACATATGGTGGAAGAAAATTGCTTGATTGTTGTTTTTTGGAATGGTTATCCACTTAGAAAATGTTTACCAAGTATATCCAAATAGCAAATAGATGCAAGTTCATACCAGCTTCAGCGTTGATAATGGCTGGTCGACTAAATAGATCATGTTGACCTATTTGAGAATTATACCAGAGATAAAAGTTAGTCTGTTGAGAATAAGTCAATTACGAACCAGTGCAATGTCTTCCTTGGTATGGAAACCAAACAACATGGTAAAGTAAGGAACACTATTCAAGTATGCGTTATTCTAGTTTTTTTTAAGTACCTGATTGCTTTGTACAAATTTCCGAAGAGTATGGATTTTTTTTCTAACTCTTGTATCGGTGTAGCTGTCATAAAACTAATATTTTAATAGTATTTATGAACACGATGGGTAATAAACCTATCTCGTTACCTTTATCTTGCGACGTGCATGGCTTGTTCAGTAAATCCAACTCAACGATCATATAAAGTTTACTACACTTATTTGGGATAACCTAGTAAATATTCGTATTTGAAAAGTTATACAGAAAACCTAGGTGTAGGGAAGTTGTGAGTGGAATATTTTCCAACGTTTTATAAGTATCAGAAATGTACTTAAATGAAAAATGGATTTAAGTTTCAAAATACAGGGAACTTCAAAGCGAAAATATGTAATATCAAAGCAAGTATGTACATCGCATGCAACTGTTGTGTTACAGAAGCTCGTTAGGGAATCACAGGTCAGTTTTCGGCGATTCATAAGGCTCCAACAGGTTCCTGAACTTTTGAGCTTTAAGTAGCATTTCAGTGAAATAAGAATCAATGTCATCAGTCTCACTTTTCGAGCGCAGCTCGTACTCGTGTATGATTGAGTCCAATAAGCTTAGAATATATTGTTTGTTTGAGAAATTGAGTGATTTCCAATCACATACGTTGAAAAACTTTAAGCACGCTGTTATAACTTTTTCACGTATATCATGGTTTACTGGTGCACTTAAATCGTTATATCCCATACCCCTTTGAACATCTTGAAGTAAAGAAATATGTAGGGTTTCGCAAAATCCATACATTAGAAAGTTTTCTTCGAAAGGGATACTGAAAGTAGGAAAATAAGAGAATATGTGTTTTTACACAATAAATATTTGTCCTCTGGATAAATATACTTTAATGGGAGCTAGCAACTTTCCCTTCAGTAGTGTTCAGACTTTGCTATTTTCGTAAACCAATTTGATTGAAGTAACTGTATAGTTAAACCATATTTGTTTTGTTATAAAAAGTCTTATCATGTAGTTTAATGGTTCATTTCTATTGACTTGGTCAGACATCGAAAGAACAGCCAGTGATTTTATAGGTTGGTGAGATCTATGTACAGCGACTCATGTATTTTCCGAATCTAATTCTACTGAAGTTAGCATCAGCTATTAAGGTTAGTAATGTAATTTATAACTGTCACTTTGTTTAGCGCAGACGTAGGTCCACCTCCTAATAATATTCTGTACTCATTGGTCACATTAGCGACATTTAGAGGGAAATTGTATTCAGGTATCAGTAGCTTACACATCACTTACCCTTAACGGTCGTGAGGTAAAATATAGCGGAGTGTTTCGATAGATACTGTGATACAAAGGTAAGTGGTGAGAAAAGAGGAAATCATATAATAGTATTAAGAATACTATAAGTCAAATTAAACCACAAACGAACCTATCTCCGTTTTTAATTTGAGCACCGAGCTTGTACAAGGCGACAGTAATCGATGATTTAGATGAAACTGGTAGTGGGTTTCTATTACATTTGAGGATTGGATTAACAATTCAGCCGAAAGTAAAGATATTCCGAAGTCTTTTAAAACAGTCCTGCGAACTACGATTCGGGGATCTTGTCAATTGCACTTCATGACAAATATTAGATGAGACTATGGTAGTTAAACACTTAATTTCAAAACCATTGTTTTCCATTGACACGGAGGTTATTAATCTGAACTCAACAAACTAGTTTAGTGAGTTATCATTCGATTATCTAGGGTCTCAATGGTAAGCTTTCATAATTCGTAATTATCGCAGCCAAGGGTCGCGCGTAAGACTAGGCACAAAGAATCATTTGGTGAGAACAAGTGCTACACCCACCTGCCTAGTCTTGTTGCACTCCATTGGTTTTGATGCAATATACTTTGTCAGCTTGACCAAGACAGGAAAAGTTTAAAGAGAAATTACAAGCTTCGTAGATGGGGTTCAATGCACAAATAGGAAGGTAGCTTAAGAGGCTAAGTGTCACCTAATGGCTTCCCGGTTTGAATTGTTTTATCTAACGCTGGTTTCGAAAACTAGGCGGTATCAGGCACGAAAGTATGACTCAAACCCTATACTTAGCTAATGACCATATCTATCTACACATGTTCGATCCGCTCACCTTATTATTTTACCCACCTTTAGTATACACCCACAATAAATACATTATATTATACTAACTTACATTATTACAGTATATATTATATAAATAATACCATTTGAAACCGTTTTTTAAACCTACAGAATTCAAAATAACGAAGCTTAATAAACACAATCATCAAATCCATAAGCTTATAAATGATAACTCTATCAACTTTAGGGTACGAAAGATCGGATTGTTGACTAAGTTACGATGTTTTAGATGTCACAACCAGCTGACATGTTGGTAGTCATAAAATGGAAAATCAATAAGCGAATAAGCACGGTTGTCATTAGATGGATATAAAACAGGTAGACGAGCAACATAATAACAGTGATTCGATTCAGCAACCAAACACAATAATGTGTAGTTGGCTTTGAACATGGGTGAGTGACACGAACAGGCCGATCTGATGGACTTTGTACCTGGTTTATCTAGCAAACCAACACCTGACATTACAAATTGAACATTTCACGGATCATCTAACGAAAAGTAAAAATTGTTGTCCCAACTCGATTTACACGAGAGTTGGGTTAGAGACAACAAGACATTTGGAGCATATGTTTGTGAAGAAAGGGTGTTTAATATTGCTCCTACAGTCATAAGCAAGAATCATGAGTTCACGCAAGAGAAGGAGTAGAATTAAACAAGAAAAATATTGCGATCAATAGATTTGCGCAGGTATGAATCCGTCGGAACTCACCTAGCATATATACTCCATACATCCATTTTTGTTTTTGTGGGGTCTTCCCCAAAAGTTATTTGGGTATCAAGCTAAAATAATAATAATGCATTAAACACTTCAAGTGAATTAGAACTGTGAAATAAAATAATTTGTTAGTACTATGAAATCAAACGAGGCATATAAACATATAATTAGATACTGTTTGGCAGTACACTTAAATTTAGTAGCTAAGTATTGTGAACATACTAGTTAGAAAAGCACCAAAATATCAAGACTATATAGTCACCAATGTTATCCTAAGACTTTACAGCTAATACTTTCCATATAGTAAAGACTATTAATTTTTCCAGTGTTGCTAGCTAGCATAAGACCAAAGTATTAGATTTATTGTCATCAAAGACGATATTTAAATAATGGCTCAAGCATAAAAACAACAGTCTGGTTGCCTAACTAAAAACCCTCAACATCACTAGAATTTAGATAACATCTTTTGGTGTTCAGTTCTCTGAGATAGATGATTTAATTGAGGATAATGGGTGTCTTCAGGACTTAATTCATAATAGTGAGATTTTTAGTTATTTCACAAGTGTACTGTTAGATCATTCCAATGGCTTGTTTATGACTATATTTGTAGGTTTTGCTTTTATTTGCATTAGGATTTATGTTGAATGTCTTTGTTAGTCCACCACTGGCTTTATGGTTGATTGATTTCTTCTAAAAAGATTCATAGATTGGGTCTAAGTCGATTGTCTACGCAAGATACTCAATGTCCGTTGATCGGATAACATCAGCAACAGCCTACTGTGGTAGTCAGTCAGCTACAACGTAGGATCAGGCACATATATGCATCGGTCCAAGTTGCTACACGACATTGGCACAACAAGGTGAACACCGGATTCATAGAAGTAGTTATTTCAATGGTGGTAATACTTAAAGAAATATTACATATAAAGACATAGTCAAGAAGAATTAGTTCGTAGAAAGAAAAATATGAAGACAGAGTGTATACACCTACACCATTGTGGTCGATTCTGTGCCATGTCACCCAGAGTCTCCAACCACTGATTACGATAGTCAGGCGGACCCCAACCAAGTAGACTGCATCTACCAACGTGGCTCAAACCAGAAGTTGATGACTTCAAGCAGCGATGCTACGTTTCGGTTGGGTCGCCCCTAACTTTCTTCCATCCATCCTCAACACAGGTCAGCATAGCGCGTCGTGGTAATCAGTGTTCAGGCATATGCAACACGTGGCCCAACCATCTCAGTCGATGAAAATTTACAACCTCATCAAATGGTTTACAATCATTCCCTAATACCCTGCGTCTAACCTGACTATTACTTGCC